CATACATTTTCTCAAAACCTCACAAATTCTCCACGTTATGGCTGGTTCTACAAGTTGAAGCTACTTTACAACATTGCCGTAGCTCCATAGAAACAAGTTCTAAAGGCCAACTTTATAAATGTTTTAAAGATAAACTATGATTTAAAACTTACTTATACTTACCAAGAGGTATATATTTTCCCATATTAAACTAAGTACCTGCAAAAATAACCTACCAATTGAAACCGACCGATGGCATTCTATTCCATAACAAGAAAGCGTATTTAAACTGTGTAACGCTGACCTTGTTGGAGATTAGTTTCACTATGTATATAGATGTCAAACCCTTCTCCAATATATGATATATGTGGTCTCCAGAAAAATTTAATGTTAATATGTGATAAAACCACTAAAAATATAAAGCACTTTAAGTCATTTCTGAATGTATTTTTTCAATCGCTTATATTAGTAACATTCAAATGATCCTGTCCGGTCACTTGCCATGTATATATAGAAAGAATCTCACCCAAGTGTCTTCTGATTATCATCCAAAATCACTCTTCATTAATTTTCAATGAAAAGTGTACATCTCTGAACATGGTACTGCCATTACACTTGCAGAGCAGCGATGTCATAGCATTGTGACGTCATCAAGTGAATAACGTCATAGCATTGTCAGGGCATTGTACAAAATCTACTGTCAAAACGATATCGTTTGATATCACACAAGCGATATCTCCTGTGGAACACAGTTTTGGATGATAAATTTGTTTACCGATGTATCTATATAGTCTCATGTACCACCGTTGGTTGGTTGAGTGTTAGTCAATTATTACCTCACACCTCATAAAACCAATAGCACACATTCCTAACACAACCTAACACATCTCAAAAACAAACGCGCACCTCTTGAACACAACGCCACACCTCACGAGCACAACTACGCACCTCCGAAACACAACCCCACAATCCCCAAAACCTCCAAACACAACCACACAACCCCACAAACACAACCCCACACCTCCTGAACACAACCCCACACCATCCGAACACAACCACACACCTCCCAAACTCAACTCCACACCTCGTGGTCAGAAGCCAACACCTGCCGAACACAACCACACACCTCTGGAACACAACCACACACCTCTGGAACACAACCACACACCTCCTGAACACAAACCTACACCTCACGAACACAACCCCACACCTCCCGAACACAACCCTACAGGTCCTGAACACAACCCCACACCTCCCGAACACAACCTCACCCCTCCCGAACACAACCCTACACGTCCTAAACACAACCCCAAACCTACTGAAAACAACCCTACACCTCACGAACACAACCCTACAAGTAGTATAAGGGCCTTTATGGGGGCAAGATCTATTTTTAGCTATGGGGCTTTATAGGGTCAAAATCTATTGTTAGACTTCACATAGTCTATTTTTAGATGATGAGTCACTGCTCTCTATTGTATATTGAGATGGTGTGAACACCTGGTGTGTCTATTTTTAGACTCGGGTGGGTATATAAAGTCCACCAAACAGTCCCCATATCATACTCAGTCTCTGAAGTCATTAGCGGATATACAGTCAAGTGATTACACATTGTGGATATACTACCAGTGTTCCTTTTGCAACCCTAGTGACTACAGTTACTGGGTGTAAAGCCATTCTTGGTTTAGACGCTGTACTGTGCGGACGTGTTGACATTGGTCTGGGATATCATGGATGTGTGTGGACATTACCCATTCGACAGGACTGTCGTTGCCGATTGCTGTGCAATCAAGACTGAATGGACTTCATTCCAGAAAAGACTCGATTCGTTTAAAGACTGGCCAGTGCAAATGAAACAGAGTCCTAGTCACATGGCTCAGGCAGGATTTGTGTACTTAATCAGAGGGGACGCTTGCAATTGTTTTCAATGTGGTCTCGTTCTCAAGAACTGGGAAGTAGATGATGATCCCTGGGCCGAACATGAAAAATGGTCTCCAGATTGTCCGTATTTGGCCCTGGTGGGAGTACCTCAGAAAGAGGTGACCCGTTGGGGTAGTCATGTGGGGCTGAAGGGAAAGGAGACCCTTATCATTCTATAACACGTGGAGGAGAAAAATCTGCCATGTTGTCTGTCGATCGATATTTGGAACTGTATGATCCAGAGTGGAAGAAAGACAAACAAAAACCAGAAACCACAGAGCAACCTAAGATTAATTTCGTTACCCCTACTCAACAAGTGGTTGAACAAGCTAAAGCCAAGTTGAAGAGAGAAAGGGAAAGTGCCGTCAATAGGGAAAACACAAAGCGAATGAAAACATATTTTTAAATAGAGACAAAAGGCTAAATGTATCATTTGTAGTAGGACTGTTGACGTGTGAACATCATTATGCATCCCTGTCCCATATGCTCCAAACAATATGTTTGGGCTCATGACTTGTCCCGTCATATTCGAACAAAACATCCAAAAGATATCAAGCAGCAGCAGCAGCAGCAGCCGTCACCACCACCACCACCACAGCAGCAGCAGCAGCAGCAGCAGCAGCAGCAGCAGCAACCACATTCATCAGAAAGTATTACCCAGTCATTGGAAGAATGTAGACTGATTCACCCCTTCACCATGATTGTCTCAGGGCCAACCTCCTGTGGGAAAACCTACTTAGTGAAACAGATTCTAGAAAGGATGAACATTAAACCTTATCCTGAACGTATTATATGGCTCTACAAACGATGGCAGCCCTTGTATAATGCCATTCAAACCCATGTTTATCCCTATGTGGAATTTCATCAAGGCATTCCTTCTGATCTCGAAAAGGATGCATTTCTAGACCCCCATGTGGTGAACGTGGTTATCCTCGATGACTTAATGTCTACTGCCAGCAAAGATCCACGCATTACAGATCTGTTTACGGAAGGAAGTCATCATCGTAATCTCTCAGTGATCGCCTTGAACCAGAATTTGTATTTCAGTAAGGATCCCACACAACGAAGAAACTGTCATTATCTGCTTCTGTTCAACAACCCTATCGATCAACAACCCATCATGACTTTGGCGAGGCAAATGTATCCAGGTAACGCAGACCATTTCATGGAGCTGTTTCAAAGGGCTACCCAGAAGCCTTATGGCTACTTGTTGGTTGATCTAAAACCCCAAACACCTCCCCATAGGCGACTTTGTCCCAATGCATTCAGTTTAAAAGGACACCTCCAAGCCAGGACAAATCAGTCCGAGTTAGATGTTCAGCTGAGCAGACGTGTGAAGAAAACCTCTCAACCATGCCAACTTGTGATGCCTGTGGACTCGTGTTTCAAGATGTGCAAGATTTGCAAAAACACAGAAGAAACTGGTGTCCCGAAAAGTCTTCAGTGGGTCCTCCTGGGATACCCCAAGTGAAAAGGCAGTGGGAGGAAGACAACAACTTCTCACCTGTAAAGAGACCACGTCCTCTGGTGGATTGTGACTATTGTGGTCAAGTGTTTAGCACTAACCATAACTTACAAAGACATTTACACGATAAACAATGTCCTGAAATGGAAAATGAGGACGATGATGTTGAATCATTAAGCGATGTCACACACAACAGGAAAAATAAGATGGTTGATCTCGAAGAGCAAGGTATAAGACAAATGTATTCACGTACGCGTGAGCTGAATAAAGACTTTTTGGATGAGAAACGACAGCTGTACATAAAAAGAGGTTTAAACGAAGACATGATTCAAGCCAAACTGAACAAATTGATCTGGAGCACGTTTAAAGAGACGTATGCCCGATTTATTACTTATCTGTACCATATGCAGGATGGTCCAAAGACACAAGGAATACTGAAACGAGTAAAAGACACAAATAATATGTATCATGAAGTGATTTCAAAATTGTACCAATATAAGTCTTGGGTCGAAGGCATGACCGAAGATGAAGACATAACATCTGATGAAGAGAGTGAAGGACAGGTGGATGATGATGAAGGGTAATAAGACAACAGATGTAAAGTAGGCATTTGGGAGAGCTCCTATCCTAATGTCTACTCATTTGAAACGGAGCTAATAAACAATGAAATCTGTATATCTCTCTTGTTTCTTAATGTATTGTTCCTCTGGGTTACCCTTCAGTAACCCATGCTTGTCATAAGAGGCGACTAACGGGATCGGGTGGTCAGGCTCGCTGGTTGACACATGGCACATGGTGTAGAATGACGCTCATGCTGTTGATCACTGGATTGTCTGGTCCAGGCTCGATTATGTACATTATGTACAGACCACCTCCATAGAGCTGCTGAGAGTGTACTAGACTCACTGAATGTATTGCTGTAGGATTGACATAAGACAACTGTTGTGCAATTCTTTGTTTTTATAATACCAATGTCAACCCTATTTCACCGAATCCACGAAAATGTTTAACATGATCATACTAGTATCAGACATACAAGTTTCAGTTTAAATGTCATTCCTGTTGATTGAATACAATGTAACAACTGTTTCAGTTCATGGTATTGAATACAACAACTGTTACAGTTCATTGTATTGAATACAACAACAATTTAAATGATCTGTAATGAATATATTTATATAAATATATATATAAACGGTTTATAAATACATAAGCTATTACACTAGTGTTGTAAAGCCATTTTTGGTCTACATAACCGTTTTGGACATGTAACCGGTTTGGACATGTAGCAATTTTGAGTCAGAACCGTTTGCGAACCGTTTTGACCAAGTTTCACTGAAACCGGTTTGGCAGAAGCGGTTTTGAGACTGAGACAGGTAAGGGCCGTAACTCTAGTCTACTGAACCCGCGTGCGTGGCGTTTCTTTGTCTGATCTTAGAAATGGAGGGAAATTCATGTCCATGGATGACACAATACGAAATGTGTGGAATTAGTGCAATGGACTTTTCTATATCATGAAGGACATGTTCAATATTTTGATGAAATCATACGGAGGACAATAATTTGTGAGTTTACCGTTCATGATTTTCATGCCGATGATGGGACATGTTTGCGGTATCATACTGGTATGTATGATCTGATGATTATGATTTTAACCCCATCGTCATCTATATTTAACATTGACATGTTTATTATATCCACACATAGTACAAGATGTGTTTGATGTAGATCATGGCTCGAATACGAGATTATGAACTATATTTATACAAAGTGACTCGAGATCGGAGATGTTTTACCATAATTCATCACATACTATGTAATCACATAATGATTATTATTTGTATCTGCCTTGTTGGTTCTTAATTATGATTCAGGCATGGTTATCAGTATTATTATTTTTTGTGTGTTATTAATTGTTTTCAATGACTCAACAACTATTTTATTGTAACTGAAACAACAAGAAATAAAGTAAATATTGTCACTACATATAATTGTAATTTTTTTTTGTATCTAGATGCTGTTTCTTCGTTTTATGATTACAAACGTTGAGAGCACAACCAAATGTTTTCCAGGTGACTACAGACACACCTGGCCTATTGTTAGCACTGAAAGAAATGAAGGACGCTAACATAGGGTGGTACATTTGTCCAATGTCGGTATTCTAACCTTAGGAGTCTTCTCTTTGTGAACCTAGTGTAATTTTCCAGCACCAGCTGCTAACCTCAAAACATGTTGGTCATTTTTGGTAAACTTGAAAAGAAAATGCAGGTCATTGATGAAAAGTTCCAGGGTTTGGTACTGGACGTTCTTTGTGTGAATATTCCCTATTTAAAACCCCGGGTCCCCATTCCTACACACTTCACCCCCTGGCTCATTCACTGTTGTACCTAACAAGAAAAAAAAATGGCAGAAGAATTTTTGGAACTGTAAGTATTTCTATGTTACATTTTGATAATTATTGTGAAAGTAATTTCATCATCACAAAATGTTTTCTGACTATCATTTCACATGAATCCTTATGACACTAAGACTAGTGTAAAATGACAGTCCTAAAAGCATTTTTCATTATGGATTTCAGCCAAGACATGATTGAGGAATTTTCCCCAGTCTCCCCCAACTATTCGGACATCACAGATTGGGATACAGAGTAAGTATGCTATAAAATAGTTATTTTTTTACAAGTATTCAGTTAATCATTGGTAATGTTGTAAAACACAATTTCTGATAAACAGTAGGCTCATTTTTTCACTAATGTCAATTTTATTGCTCTTTCAGTGATATTGATGACAGCCTTCTGTTGGAAGCTGTTGAGGGCATGAGCACCTCTGTGGAGTAAGTAATATTAATTTGAAAATGATTTAATACTAATGTATGTAATACATGATGTAAAAAGAATTAACATAAATCACACAAAAGTTTGTGTGTGTGTGTGTGTGTGTGTGATTATGACCTTCAACCATTTTGTGTTAATTTAGGTATATTGTTCTCATTTTTCAGTGATGATGACTGTGTCATCACAGGGGTGGAAATGCCTTCTACCCTATCTGTTGCCAGTGATGCCACCAACATCAGTGACACCACCACTGAGGGGCATCCTCCCCACCTCCTCCTCGTAAGTGTATATTAGATACATTGAAGTTATTACTATCTGAAGTAAATGTATTATTATCATATACAGGATTTTTATCTTATTTTGTTCCTTATTTTTTTCAGTCTAACAGAAGTCATCCAGGCACATATAGAGTGGAGAAGAGGGGAGGTGGAAAATCGAATATGGGCTCTTCAACATGAAGAGTCCTTATTGGACATTTTAGAGATAATTATTAGAGAATATTAGGTTTTTGTAGTGTTAGTTAGTGTTAGTTTTGTATTATGTTTAATTTGTTATCTTTGTGTATATATTGTTAACTTTTGTTCATATATGTGTTTGTGTAAATAAAGGTGCCCAAGGGTGGGCAAATGAGTCATTCATTGTTGGAGTACAGTATGAATCAATCTGTTTCTTCACATGAATGGGTTACTTGTTCCAACCCCTCTAAACATCTAGACATGCTTGGAACAAGGATGTTGAATATATTCTCAATATTGGACATACCTGCTGGACTGCATATGTGTATTCATGGAAATATGTGTGGATACAATGGATATGTGTGTGAATCGATCTGTTCACGGAACTATTCTAAGTGAAATTGTGCAGTTCATGGACATATGTGTGAAGCTTGTGCTGAGGATTTCCTATGGATCATATGAGGTAAGTTGTTTCAATTCCCTATTCTGATGTTGTTTCCACAAATGTGTAGTCACTCCAGAGATGTATAGTTGAGAGGCTGATGAAAATATATATCCAGTAGACAGTATAATACAAGGTTGTTTAGTAATCCAGTGCACACAGTATAATCCAATGAGAAATGCACTCTGGTATATCCACAATGTGTGAAATCACTTGAATGTATATCCACTAATGACTTCAGAGACTGAGTATGATATGGGGACTGTTTGGGGGACTTTATATACCCACCCGAGTCTAAAAATAGACACACCAGATGTTCACACCATCTCAATATACAATAGAGAGCAGTGACTCATCATCTAAAAATAGACTATGTGAAGTCTAACAATAGATTTTGACCCTATAAAGCCCCATAGCTAAAAATAGATCTTGCCCCCATAAAGGCCCTTATACTACTCCTACACGTCCTCAACACAACCCCACACCTCCTCAACACAAACCTACACCTCACGAACACAACCCCACATGTCCTGAACACAACCACACACTTCCCGAACACAACCCCACACCTCCTATACAGAACCACACACCTCCCGAACACAACCCCACGCATCCTGAACACAACCGTACAACTCCCGAACACAACCACACCTCCTGAACACAACCCAACACCTACCAAACTGAAACCCACACCTTCCGAACACAACCCCACACCTCCCAAACTAAACCCAAGACTTTCCAAACATAACCTCACATCTCCCGAAAACAACCCCCTACCTCTCGAACACAACTCTACACGTCCTGAACACAACCCAAAACCTCCCAAACACAACCACAAACCTCCTGAACACAACCACACACTTCCCGAACATAACCACACACCTCCCGAACACAACCCCACACCTTCTGAACACAACCCCACACCTCCCGAACACAATCCTACACGTCCTGAACACAACCCCACACCCACTGAACACAACCCAACACCTCCCAAACTGAAACCCACACCTCCCGAACACAACCAAACACCTCCCAAACTCAACCCCACACCTCCTGAACACAACACAACACCTCCCAAACTCAACCCCACACCTCCTGAACGCAACACAACACCTCCCAAACTCAACCCCACACCTCCTGAACTCAGCCCCACACCTCCCGAAGACAACCCATCACCTCCTGAACACAACCCAACACCTCCCACACTCAACCCCACATCTCCTAAACACAACCCAGCACCTCCCAGTCACAAGCCAACACCACGCAAACTCAATCCCACACCTCCTCAACACAACCCAACACCTCCTGAACACAACCCAATACCTCCCAAACTCAACCCCACACCTCCCGGTCACAAGCCAACACCTCCCAAGCTCAACCCCACACCTCCTGAAGACAACCCCACAACCCCGAAACACAGACGCCTTCACACCTTCAACACACACCCAATACAACCCCTAACTGCCCCATCTGAAACCCACACCTCTCAAACATACCCCTTCTATCTAAGAAAACCCCACACATGGCCACATCAAGTCACACTTCACTACCAAAACCATGCATTTGTTTATTAATCAACATACTTTAGCTCCCACCCTCGCTAGATTGACACTAAACGCCGCACCTGAAACCCATCTCTCATCAGTGTGCAGCCGGCGCATATTCAGGTGCAAGCTTCTGACAAGTTATGTTGCACGCTGTCAGGCACAAATCCGCGCGAAGCCAGCAATGTGCCCCCTTGTCAGTGACAGGATACTGACGGCTGGGTCTTTCTGTGTAGAGCGTATTCCCCGAGAATCCAGCCTGAGGTCAACCTACCCTTTGTAGAGGTGACGGCTAGTTTCACTCAGCTAACGGGATCGTTCAACAGCAGGATTATTCAGTATCAACACTGAAGACTCTTAACAGAAGCAATTCATATCACTAGCCCTATTTACATGATTCAGAACTGTTTCCTTTATGTTTCTTCTGTCGATACACGACAGCCTTTCACCCCTATGGGCGAGTCTATAAATTCCTGTAGACTGAAGAATGAACTGGCCTTGTTTACCTTATCAGTCCACTCAAAACATGCCTGACGATGCACTGCCCCCATGTCAGGTGATGTATAGGAACGCAAGCGACATATTTTTAACCACTTGCCCTAGTTGAGAGATACTGTAATGAGAACAGCTCGTTGAGAAGTCAGTGTTTAATGTACCATACTTAAACAGGAAGTATAGAGGACCATCCAGGTAAAAGAGTGCCACACGGACAGCTCGAGGGACAGTGCCACACTGTTAAAGCAGACTCAGGTATATCAGTGACTGATAACACGAATAACTACTGGTTTACCAGTGGTTGATAGAATGAACGACGTGATGTGGTATATGAGTATACTTTTACGCCGCTAATTCGCGGAAGGGGGAGCCAGGAATGGGCTTCACAATGTACCCATGTGGGGAATCGTATCCGGACCACTAGACTGCACACCCGACCTTCCCACCCCTCCCACCCTCTTTCCATCCCATCTCTCCATCCCCAACATTAAGTTGTTGATAGCGGAAACATCTCCACGTAAATCAGTGGTTGACAACGCAATCAAATCCAGGTAAGTCAGGGGATTATAACACAAGCAAAACGAGATTAATCAGTGGTTGATAATACAATCACATCCAGGTAAATTAGTAGTTGGTAATACAATCACATCCAGGTAAATTAGTAGTTGATAACACAATCAAGTCCAGGTAAAATAGAAGTTGATAACACAATCACATCCACGTAAACTAGTAGTTCATATTACAAGCACATCCAGGTAAATTAGTAGCTGACAATGCAATCACACCCAGATAAATCAGTGGTTGATAACACAATCACATCCAGGTAAATTAGTAGTTGATAACATAATCAAATCCAGGTAAATTAGTAGATGATAACACAATCAAATCCAGGTAATTCAGTGGATGATAATACAATCAAATCCAGGGAAATCAGTAGTTGATAACACAATAACATCCAGGTAAATCAGTAGTTGATAACACAGTCACATCCAGGTAAATCAGTGGTTGAAAACACAAGCAACTGGAGGTAAATCAGTGGTTGATGTGTCCACGTCGGGGGAAATATCTTCGTGCTGCCTGCTTGTGGTTCGTATTATCATTGGTCTTGATATGTTACGTGTATAACGGGTGCAATGGTATTAAGACACTAATGCTTGGGTAATCAAATGTATCTGGGTTATCTTATATGCTTTAGTTGTCATGGTACCCGTGAAGGTCCGGGTTAGACTATTGATCTCCAGTAACCAATGCGTGTCGCAAGAGGCGACTAACGGGATCGGTTGGTCAGGCACGCTGACTTACTTGGTACATGTCATCGGTTCCCAATTGCGCAGATCGATGCTCATGCTGTTGCTCACTGGGTTGTCTGGTCCAGACTCGATTATTTACGGACCGCCGCCATATAGCTTGAATATTGCTGAGTGCGGCGTAAATCGAAACTCACTCACTCACTCATTAGTTGTCATGGATGGATGGTAGGATGAATGGAATGGCATGGGGAGGGATGGGGTGGATGGATGGATGGATGGATGGATGGATGGTTCATGTTCTCTCTTATAAACATACTCCTGTTGCACCGTGTCTTCCAATGTCAAGTGTAACGGGCGACACACGAATGTCTCGTGGTTAGTAACGTGGAACACCTTGAGGCGTTGTTTCTTAAACCACCTCACACTGCTCCAGTTTCTGTAGAACATGGTTCCTGTTGTACCTGCCGAACGCTGGATCAGTCTGTCGGCAAGCTCACTGGGTAATATCCCAGTCTACTTTCACTGAAACAGACCTGCTCCCCTTCTCTGAAGTATTACACATACTGATTCACATACCTGTTGAGCGACCACCCTTGGAAATACACTGACGTGCCTACTACGTGAAAGGTAAACAGTTCGTGTCAATCTGGGAATACTATCTCAATTTATCAGAAATTGTTTCATTAGTTAACTAGTTTAAGGAGCATAGAAATAGCGCAGCAAACACGCCCGGTCTTGGTCCTGTTCTTACATAAATCTGGAAAATGTCAAAATTATTGCTTTGCATTAAACCGGGAAGACATGACAGTCTTATACCCGGGGTAGGATTCCGGCCGACTGCATATTGATTTAACCTCCCCGCATAGAGTCAACGTTACCTGACAGAGGTCTGTATGTTACTTTACATGACACGTATAGCAAGTGCAGTTAGCAGCGGGCGTAAATACCTGCCCCCCGGGGCTATTGTTCATCGACAACACTGTGAAAGTCCTGTTGGTATGCTTGTTGTATAGCCCCGTAATGTGCCAGTCACGTGACGGCGGCCTGTAAATTATCGAGACGATCAATTTTTTTACACAGTTTTACATCTGGAAACTTTACTTCAGTTTAGCAGAAATTGTTTATCAATTGCCTTTACTAATTTAATGAGCATTTAGATAACCCAGTAGTTAAAGCGTTCTGTATCACGTCGAACGCCTGGGTTCGATGCCCCACATGGGTTCAATGTAGCCAATTCCTGGCGTCCCTAGTCATGCTATTGCTGTAATATTGATAGAAGCGTGGTAAAACCCAACTCACTCATTCAAACTGACGACGATGAGGAAAGACAAGAGCACCACTAAAACGTTGTCCTGGGGGCCTGTCCAGATGAAACCGCATCTCATCTGGAAACAGGATCCTGTACTATGTTTTTACCTGAAGCTCAGACACTATTATCGTAGGCGCTTTGGCGGGGTATGGGTTTTATCGGGAAATATAGACATGTTTGTATATTCTCTGAGTTAAGTTAAAGTTGCGTTATCTAAATCTAAATCAGGCACCCATGAAAGGCCACCTCCTCGTGGTGGGTGCTGGGTCACGCTAAGCGCCTTTCAAACCCCCGTTGTGGACCCGGGGGGATATTAGGTCCACCAACCTTTTTGCCGTGGGTTGCGCCCCTGTGTCGGTGGAGGACGGGATTCTGGTGGTTGAGGGCACTGGTTCCAGGAACAGTGTTCCTTTGCCCAACACACCACTTCGGCCCTTACTTCACCTAGACGGGTGGTTGAATGGGCCCGGTTCAACCAATCGGCTGGTCATGTCGAGCCCTGTGCATTCTTTGTATTTGCACAAATTCTATTTTGGACTGTATTTATTGACTTTAGGTCTCGGCTCTTTTTGTCTATACATTACTTGATTTTGACATGTGACCTATTTCATTTGCCTAGAGTCGTATGCCCAGAAGGCGGTGGCTCATGGGCCAATCTGGTGGAAGAATTAATCTTTTAGTTTTTCTGCTTGAGTATATCATCCGAGTATCCTTGGTGCTGCAAGTTGGAGACCCACCTGTTTTTAGCATTGTCCTTGTGATACTCCGTGGTGGGTGGGGAGCTCGGATGATGAAACTTATACACTACTATGGAATACAAAACCCCCCTAAAACGAAACAAGCGTCAACTTGACAACGATGATGATGACGAACGTCCTTCCAATTCAATTGACTATTGGCCACGATTTCTGGTTATCGAGACTGTAGACAAGGCTCCACTCAAGCTGAACCCTTTTGCAATTTCCAAGGGTGTACATGGCATTGCAGGTGAGGTTAAAAACATTAAACGCTTATGTTCAGGATCTCTGCTGGTTGAATGCAGTAGAAAACAGCAAGCAATTAACCTGATGTCGACAGAATTATTTGTTGGAATTCCAGTTTCTATCACTGCCCACAGAACTCTGAACACTAGTAAAGGCATAATCAGAGACAGAGATCGACTGTTGGCTGATATGTCAGAACTAGATATTGTTTCTGAGATGAAGGATCAGGGTGTGACATATGTTAAAAGATTCACAACCCGCAGAAACAACGAATCAATCCAAACAAATACTTATCTGTTCTCATTCTCATCTCCAAATCCTCCGAAGTCTGTCAAAGCAGGTTACTGCAATATTTCAGTTGCCATCTACATTCCAAATCCTTTGAGATGTTTTAGATGTCAAAAATATGGGCACGGAGTTAATACTTGTACAAAGCCCATAACATGTGCCCACTGTAGTGAGACTACTCATGTCACAGAAGACTGCACCAGTGACCTTAAAAAGTGTACAAATTGTTCAGGAAATCATTCTTCTTTCTCCAAAGACTGTCCAATCTGGAAGAAACAAATGGCAATCAATAAAATTAAATTCACCCAGAACATCAGCTTTGCTGATGCCAAAAAAATTGTGGACTCTGCAGCACCGACTGAATCATATGCATCAGTCGTCAGAACACATTCTGAAAACATGTCAAAAGTAACCACCTCGTCGATACATTGCCAAACAGATTTGACATGGGTTAAAACTACTAATGCTCAGTTTGTTGCACCTGAACAGTTTACTCAGACCTCGACCTCTTCTATCAACACTCACTCACTCACTCACTAAAGGTCCATCAGAGCCCTGCAGTCAGATTTCATCTGTATCCGGAGAACAATCTTTGTCTCAGTCAATTCAAAAGTCTCAAGCAAAAACAAGCTCGAAGAATACTGTTCAAAGTAAAACCGACTCAAGAACAGAATCTTCAAAAAAGAGTGGCAGACCCCCGAAGGG